ACATATTCTCTAGGGTTAAGCCTACCAAGGATACCTTCAAGCTTAGGGAAGTGGAGTTTGACTCAAACAAGGATGAACATTCGAAGGTTCGACTGCATGAAGCTCTAGCATCATTTTTTCGTGAACTTGCTCTTGAATGTGCTTATTGGCATAAAAAAGCAGGTATAAAATGGTTCAAGAAAGGTGATGCTAACACGGCTTTCTTTCATGGTGTATTGAAGCAAAGGAGGAATACGAATTTCATCTCCTGAATTAGGGTAGGTGATGGCTCCTGGGTGGAATCTTTGGACCTTATTAAAGCTTTAGCTACTTCTTTTTACTCGCAGCTTTTTACGTCAGAGCATCAGACAATTACCCCGCAGATTAATTTTGAGGTCCCTTCAATGGAGGAAACGGATAATGATATATTACTAGCTCTCCCTTCATTGGCAGAATTCAAAGCAATGGTATTTAAAGCAATGGCAGAATTTTGAGGTCCCTTCCAGTTCATGATTTTCTGGTGTTGTATCAATCCTATTCGAGGCAAAAAGTCAACATCAATAAGAGTTCTTTTGTATGTTCCTCTAGAGCAACAGATGGGTAGCTTTCTATATTTTTTTTGTATCCTTGGTTTTCACCAGCAGTCTTTTCCTGTGACTCATTTAGTAATACATTGGTTAAGGGGCAAGTTGAAATGCTTTGAATCAGATCTTCGACCTCCGCTGAGTATTCCATTAGTTTCAGTCTGTGGCATATAAAGATGCGGGCTCTGTTAAAGCAACATGGTCTGTGGAGTCCGCTGACGAAGAAGAAATCGGATTCCGTTGATGAAGAGTTGATGAGTCTGGAGGAAAAGGCTCACTCGACAATCATGCTGTGCCTGGCAGATGATGTCATCACTGAGGTCGCCGGTGAAGAAACTGCTGTGGGTTTGTGGGTTAAACTTGAGAGTCTCAATATGACGAAGTCTTTAACCAACAAGTTGCTCCTAAAGCAATGTCTGTTCGGTCCACGTATGCAGAATGGTACTCCTCTTCGAGAACATTTAGATCAATTAAATACAATTCTTCTTGAGTTGCATAATATTGATGTTAAAATTGAGGATGAGGATGCCGCGTTGATTCTGTTAGTGTCTCTACCGTTATCGTATGAGAATTTTGTTCAGTCTTTTATTGGCGGTAAAGATACAGTGACTTTAGATAAGATCAGCACTGCATAGTAAAGAGTTGCGCCATAAGGCGGTTGGTAATATTACAGATAATCAGGCTGCTGGGCTAGTTGTCAGCAGTGGTAAAGGAAAATTGGGGAAAAAGAAGTCCGAAAACAAGAAGCAGTTCTCTAAAGGTCCCACGCCGGATGATGTCTGTAACTATTGCAAGGAAAAGGGTCATTGGAAATCTGATTGTCCCAAGAAGAAGAAGCAGCAGGAAAAACAACACGCTTCAGCTTCAGTTGCAGAAAAGGAAGCGAAAAATTTAGAAGAAGACCTGACCCTAATTGCAAACGAACCAACACATTAGTCTGATGTGTGGGTTCTTGATTCTGCGGCGTCCTATCACATATGTCCAAACAGGGAATGGTTTACAACATATGAGTAGATAGATGGCGAAAATGTCGTGATAGCTAATAGCGCTGTCTGCAAGGCTGTTGGGATCGGTTCGATTAAGATCAGGACACATGCTAGGAAAATTGCCACACTGAATGAAGTCAGGCACGTTCCCAAAATGACGAAGAATCTGATATCACTTAGTACTCTTGACAGTAAGGGTTTCAGGTTCAGCGGAGGAAGTGGAGAGTTGTGCATCAGTAAAGGTTCATTAGTGGTTCTTAAAGGAGTTAAGCATGGCACCCTATACATCTTACAGGGTTCTACACTAACAGGTTCTGCCACTGCTGCTGTTGCATCTTCTGAAGATCGCAGGTCTGATATGACCAAGTTGTGGCACATTAGGCTTGGTCATATGAGCGAAAGAGGGATGCAGATTCTGTCTAAACGTGATCTTCTAGAAGGCCACAAGGTCACCGATCTTGGATTCTGTGAACATTGTACTTTCGGTAAACTACATCGCAGAAAGTTTGAGAAGGCAATTCACAGGACAAAAGGCACACTTGATTACATCCATTCTGACTGTTGGGGTCCTTCACGAGTTGAGTCTTTGGGAGGCTGTCGGTATTTTTTATCCATGATTGATTATTATTCAAGGATGACTTAGGTAATTATTAAGAAGGAAAAAGGTGAAGCTTTCAAGAACTTCAAGCAGTGGAAGGCCTTAGTGGAGAATCAAACTGGAAAGAAGATCAAAAGGCTGTGAACTGATAATGGTCTGGAATTCTGTTCAAAGGAGTTTGATGAGTTCTACAAAGATGAAGGAATTGCTCGACATCACATAGTTCGACACACACCACAACAAAACGGTGTAGCAGAACGCATGAATTAGACACTTCTAGAGAGAGCACGGTGCATGCTCTTCAATGCTGGGTTGCCAAGGAGGTTTTGGACAGAAGCAATGAGCACAACCTGCTTCTTGATTAATCGTGCACCTCATACAAGTATAGACTGCAAGATACCTTATGGAGTGTGGTCTGGTATGTCCCCTACTTACTCAAGTTTGAAGGCTTTTGGTTGTACTGCGTATTATCATGTCAGTGAGGGCAAACTAGAACCAATGGCTAAAAATGGAGTGTTTCTAGGATATGGAGACAGGGTTAAAGGGTATAGAATCTGGTCACCCTCAGAAAAGAAAGTTATACTTAGCAGAAGTGTAATTTTTGATGAAAACTCTATACTTAACCCCTTTGTGAAGACTGTTGTTGAAGAAAGTGCAGGTGTTGATAAACAGGTGGAGCTACAAATCATTCAAAATGGTTTTGAATCACAACAGCAATTTGATGATCATCAACAGCTATCCTTTGAAACTGAACCTCCTGTAGAAGTAGAGTCTCTAGAACCTGCATTAGCAAAAAGGTTGGCACCTATATCCCATACTGCGTCAGAAACTCAGCAGCACGATATTGCTTATAATCGTGCGAGGAGAGTGGGAATACGACCTCCCAGCAGGTATCGGGATTTTGTAGGTTATGCATTTCAGGTTACTGAGGAGGTGGATTCTCCTGAACCCTCTACCTATAGAGAAGCTATTTCAGGCAGTGAGTCAGCTCAATGGCTTGCTGCAATGGGTGATGAAATGGAGTCATTACACAAGAACGACACTTGGGAATTGGTCAAACTGTGAGGACCCGCAAATTTCCTACATTTTTCCTCAAAAATGCCTTTTATTTGAAAATTATTATTTATTAAGGCCCCCTACCTCATTATATCACACTAAGTGTAAATAAACCTAGAAAATAAGGTTTTACGCTTTGGTTTCAAGTTTTGAGCAAAATTAGGGTTTTTGCGATTTTTTCCGCCGGATGAATTTTCGGTACTGGCCAAGGATCAATTTGATGATTAAAAGTGACTCTTAAGTGAGAAATAATATGTGAGTAGTAGCAATGATATAAGGTTAGTGAATGGGAAGTAAAAACCCTAGTACGTGAGTTTTTAAGAAAAACGGCGCGAACCGGCGGGTCCCGCGCATTACCGATTGAACGCACCACTTGACCACCATTTTTCTTACCCAACAAGTTTGTTGACTTTTGCACATAATATCTTCTCTCTTGGCAGCATGTTGACCGAAAATTGGTGGCTAAGAAAGGCAAGAAAGAAAGAGAAAAAGAAAGGGTGGTGGTGGTGACAAGTGTCACCACCTCATGGCTTCTTACCCAAGACCATTACCAACCATATAACCTTAACACTTAGCCAATTCTTCCTCATTTCTGCTGGAGCTGGCCGAGAGCATCAAGGAGGAAAAACTCCAAGGGAAATCTTTCATTTCATCTCCAAATCCAACAAATAAGTGAGGAATCGAGCGAAGTAAACCGATTAAACTTGCTTTCTAGTGACTAGCTAGTGAGTGGTGGTGTGATTCTTGAAGGGGAGAGCTTGTGCTACTCTTGGTGACTTTTATTCAAGGTAAGAGAGTTTATCTCTCCAAGTTTTACATCTAATCTTGTTAAATTAAGTTTAGTAGGTGATTATAGTGGTGAGATTATGGATGATTAGCATGATTTAGAGGTTTTCCCCAATTTATTTGATGAACTAGGGTTTCTGATTTTCTGCTCAATGTGATGTATGATGCATGAATGTTGTAATTAAGGTTATATAAGGTTGTTTAGTGGTGAATAGAACCAGAAATTTGAGGAATTTACACTTAGAGCTAAAAATTCCAGATTTCTGGAAAATTGCCCAAGCATTCTGTCCGAAATTGTACCTATATGTTAGAGGCCGAATTGGCCTTTGGTCAAAGAAGGAAAGTTGTAGAGAATGGTGTTTTATAGGTGCCTATAAAATTTCAGCTCAATCGGAGCAATGCAGAACGTGAAAAGTCCAAAATACCCCTACTGTTTTAAGAATTCCCCAGCAGTCCGTTTCTTCAGTTCAGTCCAGTTTATCACGATTTTTGACTAGGATCCCTTCTGATTTAGCTCTGGGCCAAAACATAAAAGTTGTAGTGCTCTGAAGTAGCTTTAAAACGCCTCAAAGAAAACCTGATTCGGACTTGTGTACACTGAGTTAGGTTCATTACAGTGTTCTGCGTTTAAACAACCGACGAACTGGTTTCTGGTTTAGTAATCTGAGATTTTGACTAAGTTACATTAGGAACTGGACTACGTGACCTTCATGAATGTTGTAGCTCTGTGTCTTAGCTTCGAAACGGCGTAGGTTTCGTTTTAATCTGATAAGCGTAGCCTCGGGTATGGTATTACCGCATTTGTACGTCAAATCTGTCTTGAACTAAATTGCGTTTCTGCACTTGTACTTGATGCGATTCTTGTTGTTATGATATTGTGAGCCTATGGAACGGCTCTTGACATAAATTGCTTGTTTGTATGATGTTGGGATGTTGTTGAAGAAAAATAATGAAGCCTAAATGGCTGGAAATTAGGTAAACACAAAGGGCATGCTGCCCAAATTTTTACTCGAGGTCTAGAAAACTATCTTTGCGACTTGAGTGAAGGTTAAGTGATTATCACTTGAACTATCGAGGACCTTTGCCACTTGTTTAGGACTTGGCCGAACTTGTACCCTTAGGAAAATGATATGAATCACTACGAAACCGTTTTACTTGCACTTTTGACTCAAGAGTCATATTCAAGCAAAAATGTTATCAAATTTTCCAGTTTAAAGAGCGAGCAACTATTTCACGACTCTTCTCAAGTGAATTTCAATTTCTTGATTCTTATCGAACGAAACGCTTAAGTTTTGAACCTTGGTTGATTTCAAAGTTCTCAAGTAAAGTTTTATCGCAGATTTGGACTCCCAACCCGGAGTACCACCTCGACGCGAAAACTAGAAGCACTATTGTGGTGAGTGCTTCCAAATATCCGATTGTACTTGATATGTGTACTCCCTACTTGACTTGTGTGATTACATGACAATGAATGAAAAGGCAAGGGTGTACTTTATCGCACTTGCCCTAATATGACCTGTTCTTGCTATTGATCATACTTGACTTGTTGTACATGTACTTGAATTGTATCTTGCCTGGAATTCCAGAAACCCTGTGGCTAGTTAATCGAGTCGAGCCGGCAAGGGCCTGGTCGATTAGATAACAAACCCTGGGTCACTTGTAATGTCGAGTGGAGTGTTATCTCCTCGACTAACGGTATACTCGAGTATTACCACCCATGTTTATATGGCGTGCGGGCCCGGAATAGGGGGTGAATCGGTGGACGGAAATTGGCGTGTAGTGGAGTTTATTTGGACTTGAAATTACTTGAAAGTTGACGGAGTGTCAACTACCACTTGACCAAGCTGGAATGGAGCCGTAACATGAATACCGTATCCTTATATGTGAATGTGCATCTAATACTACTTGACTAGCTGAAGTACTATTTCCTTGATTTGACTTGTTTGCTCGTCATTTCACTTTTATTTTGCTATAACTTGGTTGTTGCCCAATTTGATATTTGGGAACTTCACTGAGCTTTGGCTCACCCCGTTAGTTTGTTTTCCTTACAGGGGTACGAGTAACGCGAGAGACTTGATAAAGACTAGTGTAGCCTTTTGTTTTGACTTTTGAATTTTGGTTTTGTACTCGCGCTATTCCCCGAACGAAACATGTTGTACTTGGATTGTATACGTTTTGGTACTAGTTGGTGTATTAAGACTTTGTACCTGATTCCTATCGATGTAAACTATAAGTTTGAATCGTGAATATTATTTATGGTGCATGGTTGTGTATATATGATTCGATTGAGATAGTGAGTGAGTCCTGGCGAGAGCTGGGCAGGCGGTCCGCCGAACCCTTTGGTACGCCTTAGGGAGAGGTGGGGTCGTCACAGGTGGTATCAGAGCCTAGGTTTGAATTGATCGGGATAGTTTGAGTGCTTGACTTGATAGGCTAGGGTTTTATTATCGGCTAGGGTTTTATTATTGCGTTTAGCCTTAGCCTTGTTTTGCGCTTGATGTGTACTTACCTTTGCAATGTTATTTGCAAACTTAGGTAATGGCAGACACTGACTCTTCTGGGGGTGCTGGACCGTCCCAGCCTGCACCTATTGACATACCGACCGAGATACCTACTGAGGTGCCTGAGGTGCCTGAGGTGCCTGAGGTGCCTACTGACGCACCTACTGACGCTTCCGTGGTCGAGCCATATCTAGTGGGCCCTGTATGTCGCGTGATCACATACCAGGAGGTTCCCGGCGGGCCAGTGCAGCGGTGGTCCCCAGCGCGCAAGATCCGGCGCTGCGATTGCTGGAAGACCTACTCTTACCCTGACCGAGTAGTGCTTGCTATAGATGACGATCGGAGACGATTGGGTAGCACCAATCGTAGGTGCTTTGCGGAGATAGAGCGTCTCCAGGCTACTCTCCGAGATCAGGGAGCTCGGATACGCGAGTTGGAGGCCGCAGTTCTGGCGGAGCAGCAGCAGTCTGATGCTTACCGTGATCAGGCTCATGCGGTGACTGGACGTTTGATGCACATAGTTGGACACATACGAGACCGGACCGACCACATCCTGACTGAGTGCGAGGCACTTGTAGAGGATGTGATGCAGGACTTGGCCGAGGAGGGCCAAGCCCCTGTAGCTCCTGCCGCTCCCGGTGGCCCTGAGGAGGATCCAGAGGAGGATCCTGAGGAGGACATGGAGGAGGAGCCGAGCGCGTCCTCGGAGTCAGTTGGGTCGGCGTCTAGCCAGACCACTTGTTAGGATCGGGGTTTTAGGAGGTTTTGTGGGCTAGTTAGGAACATAGTGGGACGACATGTCTTCTTTTGTTTTTGTTTTAGACGTGTCCTGGTGGATGTAAATATCTTTTGTTCTATGTTCCTCGGCTGTTATAGCCTTTGACTACGTGACTTGTTGGCCTGTATATACGACTTGTTTGATATGTAAATAAAGTGCTTGTTTCTTACGTGTTTATTTGCCTCTAGTTATGTTGTTGCAACGCGATATATGAGTCGTACCTTACCCCGTTTATATGTTCTAGTTGGTTGACTCTCAAACATGGAAGATAAAAGGAGTCGGACCAAGAAAACTAATCGAGAACGCGGTTCCAGGCGAGGCCGTGAGGGTGAGAAAGTACAGGAACCGGTGCCTGAACCGATAGAGGAGAGGGAGGCAGCGGTTGAACAGCAACCTGAACCCCAGACTGCCGGGGGAGATCAGGTGGCCACTGCCATCCAACAGATGACTAATATTTTGACTCGGTTAGTGGAGCAACAGGGTCAAGGGTCTGTAAATCAACCTAGAGACCCTGATTCGGGGCAAGATAGAGCCTTGGAGAGATTCCAGAAGTTCTCTCCACCCAAATTTTTAGGAGGACCAGACCCGTATGAAGCTGAGAAATGGCTGGAGGCCATGGTAAATATCTTTGCTGCCCTAAACTACACTGAGGAGAGACAAGTCCAATTTGCCGTATTCCAATTTGAAGGGCCAGCTAGGGCTTGGTGGAATGTAGTGAGGGCCAAGTGGGAGAGAGAGGAAACTGCCTGGACTTGGCTAAACTTTGTACGGGACTTCAACGAAAAATACCTTCCACCCATCGTCCAGGAGAAGAGAGAGGACGAATTCATTAAACTCCGTCAGGGGTTGATGAGTGTAACTGAGTATGAGACTCAGTTTACCAAGGTGTCCAAATTTGCTCCCGAACTGATAGCTACGGAGCCGAGAAAAGTACGGAGGTTTATACAAGGATTAAATGTGGAATTACAAGAAGCCTTAGCAGCGGTCCAAATCAATACTTTTACGGAGGTTCTGGAGAAGGCCACGAGGATAGAAACTGCTAGGACGCAAGTAAGGAATTTCCACGCTAAGCGGAAAGGGGCACCTAGTGGAGCCCAAGGGTCGGTACGAGGCGAGCGAAGCATGCCACCCGCTAAATCCGGTCGTGGAGCTGGAAGTGGACGATTTTCGAACACGTTTAGGGGCAGTGCTCCGAGAGGGAATGCCCAGAGGGGAGGCCAGGGCGGTAGAAGTCAAGGTAGAGGTTTTACTCAGGGAGGTCAAACCTCCACTCCCCGAGTGACATGTGGGTATTGTGGAAAATTGAACCACACTGAGGACGAGTGCTGGAGAAAGGCTCGGAAGTGCTTGAGGTGCGGAAGTGCGGATCATCAGATGGTCAATTGTCCGCTAATCAATGACACTCAGTCGACTGCCAGGTCAAACCCGAAGCCGACTACTGCTGGAGGGGCTAGGTCGAGGGTACCGGCCAGAGTGTACTCGCTAGATCAAACAACTGTGCCTGAACCAACCAGGGTGATAGAAGGTACAATCCCTGTTTTTCACCGGTTAGCTAGAATTTTGATAGATCCCGGTGCTACTCACTCTTTTGTTAATCCTGCATTTATGCTTGGCATTGACTCGAAAGTTGAAAGGTTACCTTATGACTTAGAGGTAAGAACACCTACAGGTAATCAAATCTTGCTTGCGAATGAGGTGTATAGGAATTGTGATATTTGGATTGGCGAACGGAAATTGGTAGTGGACCTTATTAGTCTAGCCATTAAGGGGTATGATGTTATCCTAGGTATGGATTGGCTAGCTCACTATCATGCTCGGGTAGATTGTAAGATGAAAGTGGTCGAATTTGGTATACCAGGAGAGGCAACCCTAAAGCTTGATGTGAGGGGTATGATAGCCTCTTCTGCACTTATTTCGGGTATGAGGGCTAGGAAGTTGCTTAGTCGTGGGGCTCGTGGTTACTTAGCTTTCCTAATTAACACTCCGGGTGAAAAGACTAAGTTGGAAGACATGCCAGTAATCAGTGAATACCCGGACGTATTTCCGGAAGAATTGGGGTCTTTGCCACCCGAAAGGGAGATTGAATTTAAGGTTGATTTAGTACCCGGAACCACTCCCATTTCTAAAACTCCTTATCGTATGGCACCTGCTGAGCTTAAGGAATTAAAGGTGCAATTACAGGACTTGCTAGAACGGGGGTTCATACATGAGAGCGAGTCACCGTGGGGAGCTCCAGTTCTATTTGTTAAGAAAAAGGACGGGAGTTTAAGGTTGTGCATTGACTATCGAGGATTGAATGCAGTAACCATTAAGAATAAATATCCTTTGCCCCACATAGATGAGTTATTTGATCAGTTACAAGGGGCTGTAGTGTTTTCCAAGTTGGATCTGCGACAAGGGTATTATCAATTGAGAGTTAAGAAGGAGGATGTGCCAAAAACGGCGTTTAATACTCGATATGGGCATTTTGAGTTCGCAGTGATGCCTTTTGGTTTAACCAATGCCCCAGCAGCATTCATGGATCTGATGCATCGAGTGTTCAAACCTTACTTGGATAGGTTTGTAGTGGTGTTCATTGATGACATCTTGGTGTATTCGAGGTCAAGGGAGGAGCATGAACAACATTTGCGGATAGTATTGCAAACCCTGAGAGAGCACCAACTGTTTGCTAAGTTCAGTAAGTGTGAATTTTGGTTGGAAGAGGTGGCGTTTTTAGGTCATATAATTTCGAAAGATGGCCTTGCTGTAGACCCGGCGAAAGTGGAAGCTGTGGCTAAATGGAAACGGCCAGAAAATCCCACAGAGGTTCGAAGTTTTCTAGGCTTAGCAGGATACTACCGCAGATTTATAAAGAATTTCTCGAGGATTGCAGGACCCTTGACTAACCTGACCAAGAAACAAGGAAAATATATTTGGGATGTTAAGTGTGAAAGTAGCTTTCAAGAGCTTAAGAAACAATTGACTATGGCTCCAATTTTAGCTTTGCCCAGTGGAAAGGATAGTTATACGGTTTATACTGATGCTTCGAAAGAAGGGCTAGGATGTGTGTTGATGCAGAATAGGAATGTGATTGCCTACGCATCCCGAAAGTTAAAAACTCATGAGCAAAATTACCCGACCCATGACTTGGAACTTGCAGCTGTAGTGTTCGCTTTGAAGAAATGGCGACATTATCTCTATGGTGTAACTTTCGAGGTTTATACGGATCATAAGAGCCTTAAGTATCTGTTTTCTCAGAAGGAGTTAAATCTAAGACAACGTCGGTGGGTAGAGTTCTTAGAGGATTATGATTGTACAATTAACTATCATCCTGGAAAGGCCAACGTTGTAGCAGATGCTTTAAGCCGGAAGGCTCAATTGGCAAGTTCTATAGTGAGAGAGTGGAGCCTATTGGAAGATGTATGTGAGTGGAAACCTCGTTTGGAACCGGAAAAGGTGATTTTTGGAAATATTGAGGCGAAATCGGCATTGATGGAACGAATCAAAGAGGGCCAAGTGAAGGATCCAATAGTGCAGAAGTGGGTAGAGAGAGTGAAGAGAGGGGAGTTACCTAATTTCAATCTAAGCCCTGATGGAATTTTAAAGTTTCGAAATCGTGTCGTGGTACCTAGGGATGAGGAATTGAAAAGGGAGATTTTAGAGGAATCACATTGCTCTAGGTATACGGTGCACCCAGGGAATAATAAAATGTACCAAGATCTTAGGAATCTGTATTGGTGGGAGAAAATGAAGGCGGAGATTGCCCAGTTTGTGCAAAAATGTCTTACGTGCCAACAGGTAAAAGCTGAGCATCAAAAGCCGTCAGGTTTGTTACAGCCTTTAGAGATCCCTGAGTGGAAGTGGGAGCACATAACGATGGATTTTGTGTCAGGGTTGCCACGCACACAAAAGGGGCATGATGCAATTTGGGTGATAGTGGATCGATTGACTAAGACTGCACATTTTCTGCCAGTGAACATGAAATATCCTTTGGAGAAACTTGCTAAAATTTATATG